GTGGACTGGCTGCTCTATTTGGCCTAGTGGGTCAGGATGTGCACCAGTCTCTCCTCCTCCCCCGTCATCTGTTCCCGTGTGCTCTTAGAGGGAGTTTTTTATGGCCCCCCTCCCCCACCCAACGACACCCGCGAAAGCTAGAGTTCCTGGGTGGTACCTGCAGGTGAGTGCTTGGAAAGGTTGGTCGTGTGAACCCACCCAGGGAGATTTGCTCTAGAAGGTTTCCGTCTTGGCAGCCCCGCAGAACCATTCTAGTCTGCTCACAGGGCTCCAACCGTGAGTCGGATGGATTTGCTTGTTGAATAGACGTGCAGATATCATCACATTTAATGACTGCTCCATTGTTTATATGTACTCTCATTTATTTACCTGATCTCCTGAAGATATAGTATTTAATTTTTTTTTATCATTGCAGAAAGCCCTATAATAAGTATAGTTTTTTTCACTTGATGGGCGAAAACTGTTTTTGCTGTTTGAGTATTTGTTGGTGGAGTTCTCCCAGGGGAGCAGTCATTCGGATCTGCATGTGCTGCTATCTCCACTGTGTGAGAGGCTCTGTGACCACATGGACATCTGTGGTTGGTGTTTGCCAATATATCTGCCTTGCACAGTGCTGCCTTTTAGTAGGCTCACTCTCATAAGTGACATGATAAAATACAGGTCGTATTTTGCTCTCCCCCTTTTCTTGAACTTCTAATGAAGTTAAGTTTCCTTAATTGTGAGCCACTCACAGTGGTTCTTCTGTCTTCGGCTTACATTTTCCCAAAATGATGTTTCGGATCCCTGTACACACAGGTTGTTTTTCCAAAGGATAACTATAAATGATTCTGAGATTATTCTACTTTTGTAGGACCCCCAGGCTGTTAAATGCAGGTGGGATCATGCTTTTGGCCTGTTACCATTAGATCCGTTTTAAGAATGCTGGGAAGACCAGGGAAGCTTGGAGAAGTCAGCTATTGATTATTACGTAGAGGCATTTTACATTGACAGAAATTCAAGGTTTTGTGGTTTCGCAG